TGCCGTACATGTACATGTGGCCCTGGTGTGGCCCTGGTGTGCCCTATATCCTGGGACACACAAGCCCCATACGTATATTTTGAGGCCTGGGACCTTCAGCAAGAAGCCTGGTGAGAAGGAGACAACTGTTGGAGAGATTATTTGAAAAAAGGAAGAAATACAAAATAACCATCAATCGCCCTCGGTCTGGAGCTCCATGCAAGACTTTGCCTCATGGGGTAAGGATGATCATGGGAAAGTGAGAGATCAGCCCAGAACTACACAGAAGGAGCTTGTGAAGATCTCAAGGCAGTTGAGATCACAGTCACCAAAAAAAACATTGGTAACACAATACGCCGCCATGGATTGAAATCCTGCAGTGCCTACAAGGTCCGCCTCCTCAAGAAAGCACATGCACCGGCCCATCTGAAGTTTGCCAATGAGCATCTAAAATGATTCGGAGAAGGATTGGGAGAAAGTGCTGTGGTCAGATGAGACCAAAATTGAGCTCTTCTTTGGCATTAACTAGACTCGTCATGTTTGGAGGAAGAAAAATGCTGGCTATGACCATAAGTACACCATCTCTACAGTCCAGCACGGAGGTGGAAACATTATGCTTTGGGGCAGTTTCTCTGCTAAAGGTACAGCCCGACTTTGCCGAATTGAGGGCCAATGGACGGGGCCATGTATTGTAAAATCTTGTGTGAGAACCTTCTTCCCTCTGCCAGAACACTGAAGATGGGTCGTGGATGGGTCTTCCAGCATGATAATGACCCAAAAAACATACCACCAAGACGACAAAGGAGTGGCTCAAGAAGAAACACATTAAGGTCATGGAGTGGCCTAACCAGTTTCCAGACCTTAATCCTATAGAAAATTTATGGAGGGAGCTGAAACTTCGACTTGCCAAGCGACAGCCAAGAAACCTTAAGGATTTAGAAAAGAACTCTAAAGAAGAATGGACCAAAATCCCTCCTGAGATGTGTGTGCAAACCTGGTAACCAACTACAAGAAACGTCTTACCTCCGTACTTGCCAACAAGGGTTTCTCCACTAAGTACTAAGTCATGCTTTGCTTGGGAATCAAATATTTATTGTACTCACTGAACTGCAACTCAATTTATAACATTTGTATCATGTGTCTCTTTCTGGATTTTTGGTTGATATTCTGTCTCTATCATTTAAAATACACCTATGATAAAAATTATAGACCCTTCATTTCTTTGTAAAGGGGCAATCCTACAAAATCTGCAAGGGATCAAAAAAAAAAAAAAAAAACCAACAAAAAAACATAAGTGGTCCATATAGTGAGCTTGGTGTAAAGCTATTCACTTTAAGGTCATCACAGAAGACAAGGGGGCATTCTTTATGTCTGAAAGAAAAGATTTATTCTCCAAATATGGAAAGGCTTTTTCACAGTAAAAGCTATGAGAATGTGGAATAGAATCCCTCAAGACCTGGTTTTGGCCAGCTCAGTGGATTGCTTTAAAAAAAAGGCCTTAATTATTTCCTAAATGCACATAATATAACTGGATACTAACATTTATAGGTAAAGTTGATCCAGGAAATATCGATTGCCTCTCGAAGGATCAGGAAGGAATTTTCCCTGCTGGAGCAAATTGGATCATGGTTTGCTGGGTTTTTTGGCCTTCCTCTGGATCAACTGTGGGTATAGGATTGTACAGTGTTGTGAAAAAGTATTCATACCCCTTGAAATTTTCCACATTTTATCATGTTACAACCAAAAATGGAAATGTATTTTATTGGGATTTTATGTGATAGACCAACACAAAGTGGCACATAATTGTGAAGTGGAAGGAAAACGATAAATGGTTTTGAATTTAATATTTTTTACAAATAAATATCTGAAAAGTGTGGCGTGCACTTGTTTTCAGCTCCTGAGTCAATACTTTGTAGAACCACCTTTCACTGCAATTACAGCTGCAAGTCTTTTTGGGGATGTCTCTACCAGCTTTGCACATCTGGAGAGTGAAATGTTTGCCCATTCTTCTTTGCAAAATAGCTCAATCTTTGTCAGATTGGATGGAGAGCATCTGAACAGCAATTTTCAAGTCTTGCCACAGACTCTCAATTGGATTTAGGTCTTGACTTTGACTGGGCCATTCTAACACATCATTATGCTTTGAACTAAACCATTGCATTGTAGCTCTGTCTGTATATTTAGGGTCGTTGTCCTGCTGGAAGGTGAACCTCCACCCCAGTCTCAAGTCTTTTTCAGACTCTAACAGGTTTTCCTCTAAGATTGCCCTGTATTTGGCTCCATCCATCATCTCTGACCAGCTTCCCTGTCCCTGCTGGAGAAAAGAATCCCCACAACATGATGCTGCTACCACGTTTCACAGTGGGGATGGCATGTTCAGGGTGATGTGCAGTGTTAGTTGTCTGCCACACATAGCATTTTGTTTTTAGACCAAAAAGTTCAATTTTGGTCTCATCTGACCAGAACACCTTCTTCCACGTTTGTTGTGTCCTCCACATGGCTTCTCGCAAACTGCAAAGAGGACTTCTTATGGCTTTCTTCTTGCCACTCTTCCATAAAGGCCAGGATTTGTGGAGTGCATGACTAATAGTTGTCCTGTGGACAGATTCTCCCACCTGAGCTGTGGATCTCTGCAGCTCCTCGAGAGTTACCATGAGCCTCTTGGCTGCTTTTCTGATTAATGCTTTCCTTGCCCGGCCTGTCAGTTTAGGTCAGGTGTGCTTAACCTGCGGCTCTCCAACTGTTGTGGAACTGCATTTCCCATGAGGCATTGCAAAGACCAGAAGTTAAAAGCAGGACTCTACAGGTCCCATTAGACATTCAAAAACTGACAGTTACAGCTATGACTTGCAGATGAATGATGGAACTTGTAGTTCTGCAACAGCTGGAGAGCCACAGGTTGCCCACCAGTGGTTCAGGTGGATGGCCATGTCTTGGTAGGTTTGCAGTTATGACATACTCTTTTCATTTTCAGATGATGGATTGAACCGTGCTCCATGAGATGTTCAAAGCTTGGGATATTTTTTTATAACCTAATTGTGCTTTAAACTCTCCACAACTTTATCCCTGACCTGTCTGGTGTGTTCCTTGGCCCTAATGATGCTGTTTGTTCACTAACATTCTCTAACAAACATTTAAGGGCTTCACAGAACAGCTGTATTTATACTGAAATTAAATTACACACAGGTGGACTCTTTACTAATTAGGTGACTTCTGAAGGCAATTGGTCCCACTAGATCTAAGTTAGGGGTATCAGAGTAAAGGGGGCTGAATACAAATGCACGCCACACTTTTCAGATATTTGTAAAAAAAATGTTGAAAACCATTTATCATTTTCCTCCACTTCACAATTATGTGCCGTTTTGTGTTGGCCCATCACATAAATACATTTACGTTTTTGGTTGTAATATGACAAAATGTGGAAAATTTCAAGGGGTATGAATACTTTTGCAAGGCACTGTATATAAGGGATTTCAATTTTTCCGTTTTATTGGTTGAACTAAGTGTCTTTTTTCAACCAGACTATTTCACTATGAATGCATGGCTGACCAGTACTACAGTATAGGGAATGGTCTTTTTAAATTTGCCTTACTGAAAATTTTAAAGTGATCCTGTTACCACAGGGTCAGTAAAAAAAAAAAAGAAAAGAAAAACTTCCTGGGGGTTTGAGTCTTGAACCGCCACCACAGGTTTTCAATGATTCCAGGATTGCTCCTCCCACCATGTGGTGTGGTTCTTCCCATGGACTTGTTTATTCCAGAGTGACAGCAGGTACCTGACACACCCGGACAGTGGAATACTTGCAGGGGCCAGGTATCAACAAAGTGGCAGCGTTTTAACAAACAGACGGACAAAGGATTTTATTTAGTTTAGGAAGTGATTCTGTGCTGACAGGATCACTAAGGTAAATTAAATCATAAGTAAACAATTTTTTTCATACTGAAATACACTACCTTAAATTTAAATATATTACTATTGGAGTAGATTAAAAGGATAAGTTCACCTTTTGGACAAAAATAATAAATACAATTTTTTTTACCTACAAAAACAAAATTGTGCATTTATTATTTTTGTCCAAAGAAGCCTGTAAAGCATTGCACCAGCAATCAGTAGATGGCTGATGCCATGCAGGTCTCCTGCAGACCTGTCAGAATATCTGCTAGCTGTACGGGATGTACGGCCAAGCAGATATTCTGACAGGAAGCTTGATTGACCACAGCGCCATGGTAGTTCATTGAAAACTACAAGCTGACAGCCGCTAAGGCTGCTGGGACTTGTAGGCACTCATTCACAGAACTCTGTGAATGAGTGACGTGGCTGTGTGAGCGGAGACCGTCATGGCTGCGCGGTTTTCAAATCTGACAAATAGTACGGCAAAACTTCTCCCTGTACTATCTGTCAGAAGGAGAGGGGCGTTGAGCGCTGCTGCGGCTATGGGAACATGTTCCACCCTAAAAACGGGTGGAACATGTAACATGTTCCAATGGTGAACTTATCCTTTAAAGCTCATCTCCACAATGACAGCTAAAAGCATGTGAAGCAATTTACTGGCCATAGGTGAATTGTAATTCTGTTTGGCCAGTCTTAGGATCAACACAAAGCTACACAGTTTACCCAGGCTGGTGACCTCACAATTCTTTATCACAGGAGTCAACTGATTGGATAATGTGCAGTCCTATAGTAACAAGGTATTTAACCCTGTGCTCACCTGTAAGCAGGTTCCCAATTCCAAACTGACCACACTATGCAGAACAGAACCCTAAATGGCTCACTCATGCCCCCAATTATCACTTTGAGTTCTAGAGCGCACAGGATTGTGGGATAAGGGAAAGAAATAAAGTTTCCAAGTACTTCTATTAGCAGTAAAAACAGGGCAAATTTCCACACTTTATAATAACACGCATGTGCCCACAATGCTATGTATAAACTGAGAAGAGAAAAAAAAACTCCTGGCTTTAGTTACCCGTGTGAACTTGTTGAAGTTCTGTAGAATTTCCCAGCCCCAGTCCTGGTATTTGGTGTCACCGGTAAACCGATAGAGATAGAAAAGACTTTCCACTGTTTTCTGGTCTTAGCAGGTTGTGCCTGTCTGCCGGCTGTAAATATAAAAGACGACATTTTTACAATATTGAAAAAAATTTAACTGAAACAACCAGCCAGCCACACCTCAGTTAGATGCTCTTCGGATCTGATAGATCAGTCAAATACACCAATAACCTATGTAGTGCGAGAGCCTGTTGATTAGATATAAACTGCAACATTTGTTTAGCTGAGGCCTTGCACCACAGAGTTATCAGTAAAATTCACAGTTCTGTTAAAATTTACCAACACCATATGACGCAAGGATCTATCGAAACTATGCATTCAAATTATCTCCATGTTGGTATAGGAACCTCATTCACATAGCTGCTGCTACAAACCTTACTGTATATGACTAGCTCTAGGATCAGTATTACAATAAGGCAGAAGGGTATTAGTTGCCTTTGGAGCCTGCAGTCAGGGTAAAGTCAGAAGAGGGCTTGTTAGTGCTGGGTGTAACTTTAGGGCTTAAAACATTAGTGTTAGGGATCACAGGTTTTATTTTTATGAATCAGGTTCAGGGGTTAAAGTACTATTAAAGGCTTACATGACATTCTAAACATGTGCCAAATACAGTTACTATGTGATGCACAAGCTCTAATTAAAAGAACAAAAAAAAAAAAAAAAATCACTGTCTTCCCCGAGTGAACCTTAACCAGTAACCTTATTTTTTTTTCTAAATTAGAAAATTTATTTAGAAGATGTTTTTACACTTTAGTTATGCTTCACACACTTCACCTCTATGACACTGCAGCTGGGAACGTTTCCAATCCAGAAGGCAGCAGTGTCAATCCAAAAAGACGCTCCCAGGTGTTGACTGGTGAGCTACAAGCTTAGGAATCAGTAGTGAGACTCCTGATGGTAACATTATTATACAGGATTTATATAGCGCCAACAGTCTGCGCAGCTCTTTACAAAATGAAGGTAGACATTACAGTTATGAACAGGAGCCAGGCGCTGTGTAGTTTTGTGATAAAAGTAATACACCTTATATGGAGGTGTGCCTTTAATAATTCATATGGTAAAAAATAGATAACCAGCCTTTGGCTTTAAGAAGCCAGGTTCCAAGATGGACGGCCCGTCCACTCAGAGGGAAGCAGTGGAGAGTAGAATGCCTGTCAGTGCAGGGACCACGTGTATCCGACGTCCCAAAACTTGATAAAGTGCATGCGCGCAAAACACGTTGTCCCGGCAACCGGCCTCTTCCTTCTACAGCTGCGGCTCCAGACGTCCTGACCCCAGTAAAGATGGCCGCCGGGCCTCCTCGTGGCTCCGGCGGTAGGAAATGACGTCACGCTCTGCACAGCTCCTCCACAGGAGGAGCTGTGCAGAGCGTGACGTCATTTCCTACCGCCGGAGCCACGAGGAGGCCCGGCGGCCATCTTTACTGGGGTCAGTAATGCTGTTTTTTACCTTTACACATATGCTGTGATGTGCATACTGCCCTATTGCTATGTCTGACTAATAAAATCACCTTAAGAACATACTACACTATCTCTGGCACCTGTTTTTTTTGGGCTCCTTCTTGGAGCTGCTACTCCTACAGAAAGGGTACCCTTATCAGCCAGAAGAGGGATCTACACTATCAGTGTGACCAACCTTAAGGGGACCTCTGGATCTGTCGCGTTGTTTCTGATGACCCACCGTGAATAGGACGCCCACCACTCGATCTTCGTCGGATCGGACACCCGGGATGATTACTCCTATATGCGCATATTCCATGCGTTTCTGGTGAGTGCACATTGCTGTTATCTCGAGGCAGTACATACTTCGGAAGTATATTCATCAGACAATACCGCGGATATTGCATAGACTCTACATATGTATATGTTGTCTTCATCCATTTATTAATTCTTGAAGCGCTGCACTGTTGTTTGTTACTATTGATATACGTATATTTTAAAGGTATTGTGGTTACCTGAAGTGTTCTAGCTGCTGTATACATTTGAGAGCGCTCACTACATATTACTTTTTATCAATTAGAATGAACAGTTGAACCAGTAAAACATTAGTCCAAATCACAGATGAGCTCTCACCTTGACATCAATGTCTTTCCCCCCTGTTGACCCATGCAGGAAAAAATGAGAAATCTCTGGGCTTAGGCCAGTCTCCATTTGTTTGTACATCTGGTAGCAGGTCTCCATTAAGGACACAGCTGTTTCCATGTGATCACTAGTGATGCCGTTGTGGGCACCTAACGCCAGAGTACCAGGAAGGAAACACACCAGATGATCCTGTGAGCAGAAAACAGAGTCACACAGCAGATACAGTTTAAATAATCTTATAAATATAATAACATTGCATACATTAAGTCACCAGTAATCAACAAAACATGCTCTAAAGAGAAACTATAATGGTTTGGGGTCAATTATTTTTAAACTGCAGATTTATTTTTTATCATATGCATACACTTTGTAATAAATGTTTTATTGCGAAACATTTATATTTATAAAATGTATGTACGTACAGAGTGTAGTCATTACAAAGAATTCCCAATTCCCATTATGGTTTTTCACAAGCAAGCACAGCACAGCACAAGTTGCTTCCTATCTGACATCTTGATAATCATGTGAAAAGGAGCCAAGATCACCAGCTTGTGGCTGGGTATGAAAAGCCAGTAGTTATATGCATTATTTTATACCTACCTGAATTAAGCATGAAACGTTTTTTTTTACTCAAAGTAAAATCCTTTTCTTGGAAACCATAGAGGGAGAAAGGGATTTTTAACCTTAAGGTTATACTGTCAACTACAGGAAGATGGGACACTGGCAACCAAACAAATAATTCAGGACAGCCCAGAATAACCTCTCCCACTAATAGCGTGCCACAGTCTTGACTTCAAGAACAGGAGTCTACAGTTAGCACAAGAATCTTCTTTTCTTACTTGTTCCTTTAGGAACCCAAGAAGTCTTTTAACATTCAGGATGTCCAAATGCAGTCCAATTGAGGGGTGGGTAACACAGCAAATAAATGCTAACAGACCCAAGAAAACAATAGAAAGCTGGGACTGCCTGCAGATCAAAGAGCCAGTTGAAGGACCTTACATCCACCTGGTAGAACTTAAGAAATCTTGTGAACAGAAGACCAAGTGGCAGCTTTGCAAATCTGCTTGATGCCAAAAGCCCAAGAGGCCTTTACAGATCTAGTAGAGTGCGCTTTGACCGGCAAGGATGAACCCAATCCTCAGAGATGCCTCTATTCCTTATAGCCTGGGCTTCAACCGCCATGCCGTCTGGCAGTGCACACAAAGCTTCTGGCAGGAGTCTTGGGGGGGGGGGGGGGGGGGGGGGGCGCGACGACGACTAAAAAAGAAACCGTTTCTTTTTAGCTCTGGGAGAGTGACAGCTCATTCTCTGAGCTATAGGGAAGAGAAAAAAAAAGCTGGTAATTGCATTTAAAAACCAGAACTGACATATAGTGACAGCCAGTAACTGTATACACTGCTCTTCTCCTGCCTTTTTTCACCGCCCCCCCACACACATCTGCAGTACACACAGTCACCTGTATCGGCACAGGCAAAATGCAGATGGGGACATTTTTGACCGATATGTTTTGGTGCCCAAAATTTCGGTGCATCCCTCGTCCAATCCAATGGGGTCTGGACATGGTACTCCAAAAGCCAGCTAGAGAACAACCAAGCTAGATAGATGCAATTGAAAAGACAAAGCTCCTGCAGAACAGTCTTGACTGAAGAAAAAAATAATCAATGAAGAAAAAGGTGTTAGAATAAATGTAATTTTAGTCTTTAATACAGCAGAGCTGGGGAAATGACAATTCTCCTGGTACATTTTCTACACTGGTAATAGGAGGGGTTATACTGGCCTAGCTTACAGTTTTGTTTGCCAGTGTCTAATCCTCCTGTAGGCAGCAGTATAACCTAAAAGGTTAAAAGCTCCCTGTGTCCCTCAATGAAACAGAAAAAAAAAACTATTACATTTTTTATTTTGTTAGCCCTGACCACAAGAATTTAAAGAAAATAAAATATGTATAAAACCACTGTACATTCCCTTTAAATAACTGCTCTTCACAGTACCCTTAGTACATGTCATGGTTTAGCATCTCTAAAATAAACCTGTTCATTGCCCACGCAGGGCAAAGCAGCAGCTTCACCTAGTTGCCGGCTCCACCAGCCCATAAGCCCATACCTGCCTTCTTTTCACTCACTTTACTCCCACTTGCCATTCCAGCTGCAGGATGCAAAGGAATGTCAGCCCATTACAATCTAGTACAGGGCTTGAAATTTCCACTCGCCTGCTCGCCAATGGCGAGTGGAAATATGGTGGGGGCGAGTGTGTCCCCCAGGGCAGTCTTGCTGAGCAGGCTCGGAGGTCAGGCCGAACCTGTCATTGGCACTGGGAGCCATCTGACTGCGCAATAGCTGAGCTCAGTGAAAGCAAAACAAGGAGTGTCTGCTGAGCTCTCTGCCTCCCCCTAGAGTGCAGTACCCGGATCTGTGAGTGAACAACGAAGTACTGCAACTTTTTTATGAGGGGTGTGTTTGTGTGTGTTTCTGTATGCATGTACAATTGTATGTGTCTGTGTGTATCTGTACATGTGTCTGCGTGTATGTACATGTATGTGTGTGTGTGTGTGTGTACGTACATGTGTCTGTGTGTACATGTGTGTCTATGTATGTACATGTGCCTGTGCATGTGTATTTCTGTGTATGTACATGTATCTGTGTGTATGCGTGTCTGTACGTGCCTGTGTGTGTGTACATGTGTCTCTGTATGTGTGCATGTTTCTGTGTGTGTGTACTGTATGTACATGTCTGTGTGTGTACAGGTGTCTCCGTTTCTGTGTGTTTGTTGGTGTCGAGTAACTCTAAGGCCTGGCTAGTAGCTCAGGACTTGAAATTTTAAGCCCTGATCTAGTAGACACAGTTTTTGGCGCTTACACAGGGCTGAAGACTCTTTCCCCACCACATACGATGTGTGAGTGTTGGATGCCTGAGAAGCCAATCACCAGCAGCATCACACAGAAGGGAAGGGATTAAATCACATGTCCTCCCTTATATTTGTTATTAGAGGCTGAATAAAGTGTTCAGTAAGTAAATAGAACCTTAGTATGTGCATTTGGTAAGAACAACATCAAAGTGAACCTGTTGCTTTGCCTTGCAGTTGCAAATTTCAAACAGTGTTCAGCATAAATGAGTACATCCCAACAGATTTGTCAGAAAACATTTACTTTACTTTCAAAATCAACATTTTCTATGGAACACTATACTACAAAATACTCCCATAAATTTGAGCCATTGATTGCAAACAAGATTTGCTAATTTGCACACAAAAAAAAAAAAAAAAAAAAAAAAAAAAAAGGATTTTTCCTAACAAATTCATTTAAGACCATCTTGCAAAAATGAATACACCCCAATGAAAGTCTTAGGAGGAAAGCTAAATTTTAGACAACAAAATCCTAATTAACAAGAATTCACCTACAGGCAAGTCTAATTATTCATTAAACAGGTGTCCAGCAGACAGTGAATTATAAAAGGGCATTACTTAAAGAAAACCCCTTTCCATTTCATGTCGTCAGCAATGGCACCACATGAGAGAGAAATGTCACAAGGCCTGAGAAAGAAAATAATTTCTTTACATAAGAAAGGTGAAGGCTACAAGACGATCAGCAAAGCTTTAATTATCAGTCAGAATACTGGAGCAAAAGTGATACAAAAATTTAACAAAGAAGGAACTGCAAACATCTCACAGAGATGTCCAGGCAATCCATGGAAGTTAACACCTCAACAGGAGTGTCTTCTGATGAGAAAGGTTGAAGAAAAATCGCCATACAAGTTCACTGCAGTTAGCTAAAGAAGTAGAAAGCCAAACTGGGGTGATAGTTTCCCGTGACACAATACAGCGTACACGGCAGAGGAATGGCATGCATGGGTGTCGTCCACGAAGGAAGCCTCTCCTAACATTGTAGGTGCATTCACACTCCGAGAGACAGAAAAAAGTTCAGGAAATCAGATTGTATGATTTTTAAAGAATTTATTTGTTTTGCACTGCTGAACATAAGTATTTGAACACCTAAGAAACAGCAAGAATTCTGGCTCTCAAAGACCTGTTACTGTGCCTTTAAAAAGTCCACCTCTACTTCACTAATTAATCTAAACTTAGTAGCACCTTTCTGAGCTCTTTAAAGTCACCTGTCCACTCCACAGTCAGTCAGACGCCAACTACTACCATGGGCAAGGCCAAATTAGCTGTCAAAAGACACCAGAGACAAAATTGTAGACCTCCACAAGGCTGGAAAGGGCTACGGGGCAATTGCCAAGCAGCTTGGTGAAAATAGATCAACTGTTGGAGCAATGGTCAGAAAATGGAAGAGGATAAAGACGACTGTCAGTCTCCCTCGGACTGGGGCCCCATGCAAGATCTCACCTCGTGGGGTATCACTGATGATAAGAAAGGTGAGGAATCAGCCCAGAACTACAAGGGAGGAGCTGGTCAATGACATGAAGAGAGCTGGGACCACAGTTTCAAAGGTCACTGTCGCTAGAACACTACGCCGTCATAGTTTCAAATCATGCATTGCACGGAAGGTTCCCCTGCTCAAGTCATCACATGTCCAGGCCCGTCTGAAGTTTGCCAATGACCATCTGGATGATCCAGAGGAGGCATGGGAGAAAGTCATGTGGTCAGATGAGACCAAAGAAGAACTTTTTGGTCTAAACTTCACTCGTGTTTGGAGGAAAAAGAAGGATGAGTTGCATCCCAAGAACACCATCCCTACTGTGAAGCATGGGGGTGGTAACATCATGCTTTTGGGGTGCTTTTCTGCGAAGGGGACAGGACGACTGCACTGTATTAAGGAGAGGATGAATGGGGCCATTTATTGTGAGATTTTGAGCAACAACCTCTTTCCTCAGTCAGAGCATTGAAGATGGGTTGTGGCTGGGTCTTCCAACATGACAATGACCCGAAGCACACAGCCAGGATAACCAAGGAGTGGCTCCTTAAGAAGCATATCAAGGTTCTGGAGTGGCCTAGCCGGTCTCCAGACCTAAATCCTATAGAACATCTTTGGAGGGAGCTGAAACTCCGTGTTGCTCAGCGACAGCCCCGAAACCTGACAGATCTAGAGGAGATCTGTGTGGAGGAGTGGGCCAAAATCCCTGTTGCAGTGTGTGCAAACCTGGTCAAGAACTACAGGAAACGTTTGACCTCTGTAATTGCAAACAAAGGCTTCTGTACCAAATATTAACACTGATTTTCTCAGGTTCAAATACTTATGTTCAGCAGTGCAAGACAAATACATTCTTTAAAAATCATACAATATGATTTCCTATATTTTTTTTTAATTCTGTCTCTCAGAGTGGGAATGCACCTACTATGTGAATTTCAGATCCCATCATGATTTGTGGGAGAACTTGCAAAATCGCAGGGTGTTCAAATACTTAATTTCCTCACTGTATATACATATACATACATACAGTATGGTACCCAAGTACCGAGATAGTCCATAAGATTTGGAGTGTTTATGCTCCCCTGTTTTTTCATAGTCATTTGAGGGATGTTGGTACCCCCTTAGTACAGTGAAGGAAATGAGTATTTGATCCCCTGCTGACTTTGAATGTTTGCCCACTCACAAAGAAATGATCAGTCTAAAAATCGAATGTTAGGTGTATTGTAACACTGAGACAGAATAGCAACAAAAAATTCAAAACAAATGCATGTCTAACAAATGATGCACTGATTTGCATGTTCATGAGGGAAATAAATATATGATCCCCTAGAATTCAGCAGGATTTCTGGCTACCAGGTGTCTTTCATACAGGTAACAAGCTGAGATTAGAAGCAGTCTCTTAAAGGGAGTGCTGCTAATCTCATTTTGTTACCTGTACAAAAGACACCTGTCCACAGGAGCAATCAAACAATCAGATTACAAACTATCCACCATGGCAAAGACCAAAGAGCTGTCCAAGGATGTCAGGGACAAGATTGTACACCTACACAAGGCTGAACTGGGCTACCAAACTATCGGCAAGCAGCTTGGTGAGAAGGTGTCAACAGTTGGTGCAATCAACTGTCAGTCTCCCTAGATCTGGTGCACCATGCAAGATCTCACCTCGTGGAGTGTCAATGATCATGAGAACAGTGAGGAATCATCCCAGAACTACATGTGAAGATCTTGTCAATGATCTCCAGGCAGCTGGGACCACAGTCACCAAGAAAACAATTGGTAACACACTACGCCGACAAGGATTGAAATCCTGCAGTGCCCGCAAGGTTCCTCTGCTCAAGAAAGCACATGTGCAGGCCCGTCTGAAGTTTGCCACTGAACATCAGAATGGTGCAGAGGAGGACTGGTTGAAAGTGTTGTTGTCAAATGAGACCAAAATCGAGCTCTTCGGCATAAACTCAACTCGCCGTGTTTGGAGGAGGAGGAATGCTGCCTATGACCCCAAGAACACCATCCCAACTGTCAAACATGGTGGTGGAAACATTCTGCTTTGGGGGTGTTTTTCTGCTAAGGGGACAGGACAACTACACTGCATCAAAAGGGGCGATGGACGGGGCAATGTACGATCAAATATTGGGTGAGAACCTTCTTCCCTCAGCCAGGGCATTGAAAATGGGTCATGGATGGGTGTTCCAGCATGGCAATGACCCAAAACACACGGCCAAGGGAACAAAAGAGTGGCTCAAGAAGAAGCACATTAAGGTCCTGGAGTGGCCTAGCCAGTCTCCAGACCTTAATCCGATTGAAAATCTGTGGATGGAGCTGAAAATTCGAGTTGCCAAACGTCAGCCACCAAACCTTAATGACTTGGAGAAGATCTGCCAAGAGGAGTGGGCCAAAATCCCTCATGAGATGCGTGCAAATCTGGTGGCCAACTACAGGAAACGTCTGACCTCCGATTGCCAACAAGGGATTTGCCACCAAGTACTAAGTCTTGTTTTGTGAAGGGGATCAATTACCTATTTCCCTCATGAACATGCAAATCAGTGCATAATTTGTTAGACATGCATTTCTTTTTAATTTTTTGTTGCTATTCTATACTTATTTACTTCACTATATACAGTCAGGTCCATAAATATTGGGACATTGACACAATTCTAACATTTTTGGCTCTATACACCACCACAATGGATTTGAAATGAAATGAAGATGTGCTTTAACTGCAGACTGTCGGCTTTAATTTGAGGGTATTTACATCCAAATCAGGTCAACGGTGTAGGAATTACAACAGTTTGCATATGTGCCTCCCACTTGATAAGGGACCAAAAGTAATGGGACAGAATAATAATCATAAATCAAACTTTCACTTTTTAATTCTTGGCTGCAAATCCTTTGCAGTCAATTACAGCCTGAAGTCTGGAACGCATAGACATCACCAGCATCCCTGGTGATGCTCTGCCAGGCCTCTACTGCAACTGTCTTCAGTTCCTACTTGTTCTTGGGGCATTTTCCCTTCAGTTTTGTCTTCAGCAAGTGAAATGCATGCTCAATCGGATTCAGGTCAGGTGATTGACTTGGCCATTGCATAACATTCCACTTCTTTCCCTTAAACTCTTTGGTTGCTTTTGCAGTATGCTTTGGGTCATTGGCCATCTGCACTGTGAAGCGGCGTCCAATGAGTTGTGAAGCATTTGGCTGAATATGAGCAGATAATACTGCCCGAAACACTTCAGAATTCATCCTGCTGCTTTTATCAGCAGTCACATCATCAATAAATACAAGAGAACCAGTTCCATTGGCAGCCATACAAGCCCACGCCATGACACTACCAGCACCATGCTTCACTGATGAGGTGGTATGCTTAGGATCATGAGCAGTTCCTTTCCTTCTCCATACTCTTCTCTTCCCATCACTCTGGTACAAGTTGATCTTGGTCTCATCTGTCCATAGGATGTTGTTCCAGAACTGTGAAGGCTTATTAGATGTCGTTTGGCAAACTCTAATCTGGCCTTCCTGTTTTTGAGGCTCACCAATGGTTTACATCTTGTGGTGAACCCTCTGTATTCACTCTGGTGAAGTCTTTTCTTGATTGTTGACTTTAACACACATACACCTACCTCCTGGAGAGTGTTCTTGATCTGGCCAACTGTTGAGAAGGGTGTTTTCTTCACCAGGGAAAGAATTCTTCGGTCATCCACCACAGTTGTTTTCCGTGGTCTTCCCGGTCTTTTGGTGTTGCCGAGCTCACCGGTGCGTTCCTTCTTTTTAAGAATGTTCCAAACAGTTGTTTTGGTCACGCCTAATGTTTTTGCTATCTCTCTGATGGGTTTGTTTTGTTTTTTTCAGCCTAATGATGGCTTGCTTCACTGATAGTGACAGCTCTTTGGATCTCATCTTGAGAGTTGACAGCAACAGATTCCAAATGCAAATAGCACACTTGAAATGAACTCTGGACCTTTTATCTGCTCATTGTAATTGGGATAATGAGGGAATAACACACACCTGGCCATGGAACAGCTGAGAAGCCAATTGTCCCATTATTTTTGGTCCCTTAACAAGTGGGAGGCACATATGCAAACTGTTGTAATTCCTACACCGTTCACCTGATTTGGATGTAAATACCCTCAAATTAAAGCTGGCAGTCTGCAGTTAAAGCACATCTTGTTCATTTCATTTCAAATCCATTGTGGTGGTGTATAGAGCCAAAAATGTTAGAATTGTGTCGATGTCCCAATATTTATGGACCTGACTGTAATATATAACATTTTTGGAAGAAGTTGATCAATGTATCCGTTACCTTTTTGGGCTGAAGGGAGATACCAGACAATATGAAGAAAATTCACGTAAAAGCAAGGAGAAGAAAATACAAACTGCATGCAATAGAATTACTAAGGATAATTAAAAGCAGGAACCTGGTACTCAGGTTGATGGAAATCAGAACTTAGCCACTACACTGCACAATATATGATAGAATAGAAAAAAAAAAATCAAATGGGTTTTAAGGAGCAAAGCTGAGCAGTAGTTCTCTACTTAACATAAATATCTATAGTTCCTAGAACCCCTAAATAAAAGGGTAGCAACTCAAACAAGCGATTTAACAAGAACGTACCATTTTCGGGCTGAAGTGGCCATGAGACAGTTCGCCCACAAAAGTCAATCCACTGGGCTGCGACTTTCGCAGCAAATTCTTCTTGACCCCTTCAATGGCCTGCATATAGTCCTCCAAAAACCTGCAGAGAAACACCCAGATTGTGCTATGAAAAAGAATTATAAAACTTACTTGAATCATAGGCTAACCTTAATGATTGACATACCTTGAATCATTATTTTACATGGCCAGACAACTCATGAGCAATATGACATGATGCCCAAGGTTTTAGAACTATCAAATAGACAGCCCAGACAGAGATTTGCTACATTGAACTATCATGTCCTCCAAGCTGAAACAACTTAATGATTGGAGCTCCTTATTAATCTGACACTTTGAGAAGTACAGACAAAGCTTGTTTGGCTGTACTTCTCCTGTGGATCACAGAAATGCCGTTCGCTCTGAAAAACAATTCACAGGAGTGCAGTTTGTTCTGCACTCCTGTGACCTGTTTTCAGCCAACAGCAGGCTAAAGCTAACTGGAGCACAGGGATGTGGATGGGGCAGGCTCTAAAAAGGATCATGATCATATGGCCGCGATCCACCCAGGATCGGCACCTGTCCTAGCCTTTCAGCGAGCCACTGAGAGCCTAACCCAGCCACTTCCGGTCGCTCCCCAGCCCAGCACTCTAGTTAGCACTAAAGTGGAGGGGCAGAGCAGACAGCAGCGACTCCTAGTCACCACTCTCTACTCAGAGTGGAGGGGAGAGCAAAGCAATTGGGGGGGAAGTTGCTCGCTCAGTTCCTCAGCCTTAGAGTCAGCAGGGAGCAGAGGTAGCACTGGATCGATGCAGCATTAGGTGGACTTAAATAAGCAGGATTTTCAAAAAAAATCTATACTTCTCTTTTAAGTCTACATTCACATCTCTGTGTGAAAGGTGTGGTGTGTTTTAGACATAGGCAACTGACAGTGGAGCATTTTTCATTTCCAGCAATGAAGGGTATTGTTTTACTGACAATAAAGCAGGAGCATTTTTACCCCTACCGATGCAGGGATGTTTTTTGTTTTTTTTTTAACTTTTGGTGACCAACAGGCCCCCAACAGTGTGAAGCATTTGTTTAAAATGTTTGAGGCCCTCTGGTCTATAGACTTTACCTCCTGACAGACACGAAGCACAAAAGGATAACCTGATAAAAAGCTATTTCAGAGGTAAAAGGGACAAGGGGTGATTAGTAATAAATCTCAAGGCAGTACTTATGAACATAAAGTCCATATAATATAGTGGATCCAATAGAGGGAATACACGGTTACAGTGTCAGCAGACTCTCCTTCAGACGAGTTCTGGAGTTTTTTCCCGCCAATGGTCATGTAAAAACAGAAACAGGGAAAGGGAGAGAGAGCCATTGTCTTAATCGTAGTAGTCACTATCACTACTATGCTTAGACAGTGGCACTCTCTCTCCCTCTTTTCTGTTTTCACAAAGGATAATCTCAGAGGAGTACTGCCATCCGAGGCGACAAAATTTACCGTGGTCTCTCCAATAAACATAGTGAGACAACAAAAGTGGTTAGCTATTTTTCTAAGGGATGCTTACGTAGTCTCCTTCTTCCCACTCTGGATCCACTGCTTCAATAAGTACTCATAGTAGCTATCAGCTCGGGCTCCCAAAGTGTAGACTCCAAGGTGGCTGAACTGCCCGCTGTTTGTGTTAATAAACATGGGTACCAGGCCTTCCCGTTTTCCAGAAAGAGTATGAACATGCTGGGTGACATGGTCCACCACTTTCTAGAAATGAAATGCATATTAGATACCACTTAACCATCACCAAAAAAAAAAGCTGATCGCTTTAAAAAAAAAAAAAATAATATGTACCTTAAATGTTTCATCTCCTGTCAGTCGAGACAACTCCCGAAACTCCAGCTGGACACTGGTGACTTCAGCTACTGTGCTGTCTGAGGTCCAACGTGGTGGATGGGCAGTTCCTTTCCCAATGTTCACATCAGAGTAAGGCACCTTGGATGGGGTGTTGAAAGCTGGCAACAGACGTGTGCCAATGTCTTTCTAAAGTTGCACAGAAGATGGCTTGTATTAGGATTGATTAGAAAGTCTTTAAGTGTGCCTCAAATAAAAATTAATTACAAGATACATTGAAGGTAATAAGTATTTGATCCCTTGCTGATTTTGAATGTTTGCCCACTCACAAAGAAATGATCAGTCTAAAAATCGAATGGTAGGTGTATTATAACACTGAGAGACAGAATAGCAACAAAAAATTCAAAAGAAATGAATGTCTAACAAATGATGCACTGATTTGCATGTTCATGAGGAAAATAAGTATTTGATCCCCTTCACAAAACATGACTTAGTACTTGTTGGCAATCACAGAGGTCAGACGTTTCCTGTAGATGGCCACCAGGTTTGCACACATCTCAGGAGGGATTTTGTCCCACTCCTCTTGGCAGATCCTTTCCAAGTCATTAAGGTTTGGTGGCTGACATTTGGCAACTCGAACTTTCAGTTCCCTCTACAGATATTCAATCAGATTAAGGTCTGGAGACTGGCTAGGCCACTCCAGGACTTTAATGTGCTTCTTCTTGAGCCACTCCTTTGTTGCCTTGGCCGTGTGTTTTGGGTCATTGTCATGCTGGAATACCCATCCACGACCCATTTTCAATGCCCTGGCTGAGGGAAGAAGGTTCTCACCCAAGATTTGACGGTACATTGCCTCATTGTTCCTTTGATGCGGTGCAGTTGTCCTGTCCCCTTAGCAGAAAAAACACCCCTAAAGCAAAATGTTTCCACCACCATGTTTGACAGTTGGGATGGTGTTCTTGGGGTCATAGGTAGCATTCCTCCTCCTCCAAACACGGCGAGTTGAGTTGATGCCAAAAAGCTTGATTTTAGTCTCATCTGACCACAACACTTGCAACCAGTCCTCCTCTGCATCATTCAGATGTTCAGTGGCAAACTTCAGACGGGCCTGGACATGTGCTTTCTTGAGCAGAGGGACCTTGCGGGCACTGCAGGATTTCAATCCTTGTTGGCGTAGTGTGTTACCAATTGTTTTCTTGGTGACTGTGGTCCCAGCTGCCTGGAGATCATTGACAAGATCTTCACATGTAGTTCTGGGATGATTCCTCACTGTTCTCATGATCATTGACACTCCACGAGGTGAGATCTTGCATGGTGCACCAGACCTAGGGAGACTGACAGTTGTTTTGTGTTTCTTCCATTTGCGAATGATTGCACCAACTGTTGTCACCTTCTCACCAAGCTGCTTGGCAATAGTTTGGTAGCCCAGTCCAGCCTTGTGTAATTCTACAATCTTGTCTCTGACATCCTTGGACAGCTCTTTGGTCTTTGCCATGGTGGAGAGTTTGGAATCTGATTGTTTGATTGCTCCTGCGGACAGGTGTCTTTTATACAGGTAACAAAATGATATTAGCAGCACTCCCTTTAAGAGACTGCTTCTAATCTCAGCTTGTTACCTGTATGAAAGACACCTGGTAGCCAAAAATCCTGCTGAATGATAGGGGATCAAATACGTATTTCCCTCATGAACATGCAAATCAGTGCATCATTTGTTAGACATGCATTTCGTTTGAATTTTTTGTTCCTATTCTGTCTCAGTGTGTTATAATACACCTACCATTCGATTTTTAGACTGATTATTTCTTTGTGAGTGGGCAAACATTCAAAATCAGCAAGGGATCAAATACTTATTTCCTTCACTGTACTAAGGGGGTACCAACATCCCTCAAATAACTATGAAAAAACAGGGGAGCATAAACACTCCAAATCTTATGGACTATCTCGGTACTTGGGTACCAAGATAGTCCATAAGATTTGGAGTGTTTATGCTCCCCTGTTTTTTCATTATATTAGGAATGGGTGAAGAAGTCTAAATATTGCCATCTTAAGGACCTTTTACTCATGCTGAAATGAGGAGCAGAAGTATTCATCTGTTTAGGACCACTTTAGAGTTGATATTCCAAACATACCAACAGTCACCAGAAAAAGGCAAGTCTCATTAAAAAAAAAAAAAAAAATACCTGCAAAGTCTAAAAACAATTCTCAAGTCTCTTCTCACAAAGCTGACTAAACAGGTTTATCCAACTTGCTAATAGCTGCTAGCTGTGGTTACCGCCAAACTTGCAGGAACTGCTGTGCTTTCTGTACAGAAAGCCCAGAATGCAGGTATAATAAACAGTTACTGAGACATCCCTTGTAAACATGTATTTTAAGTGAACATGTTGGGAGTTCTGTCTTAAATTGTCCCCTTCATCAACAGTAGGCATCTCAGGTGTTGGCTCACATCTCCGCAGATAAGTTCACAGCCTCTGTGGTTACACTCTGGCCTGCTTCCTTCCAAACTCTGTGCTTCCTACTGACTCACAAGGCCACCTGTCGCATTTGGTTGCCAACAGGTTAGCTAAAAGGGTGAAAGAAAATGGGCCAGGGGGGTAAACACAAAAGCACCAATATCATTACACTGTACTAGACACTGAACTAACTCGCACAAACAGACATCATGACAACACATTTAGGAAAAATTTGACAAGCTATGGAACAGTACCGCTTTATCTAGGAAAAGAGGGTCCTGGGTTAGATGATAGGTGCTCAGTAGCCCTCCTAAAATCCGAATTGTACTCTCGAACAGATTGACATCAACATTTTTATCAAATGTCAGCTCGGTGGCCACCCACTCTCGGGCCTCCTGAAACTCTGAGACAAAAGAAAATCAATAACATTAACTGTACCCAAAAAATGATACAAGAATTCAGTAATGTATTCCTTCCAAAGGCAGTGTAATTGATTTCATTAAAAAAAAAATAATGTCTGAATAACAGTCAGTTCTTGCTGAGTTCTTGGCTGTCAAGCTAACCCACTTTTTTTTTTTCCAAGTTCTGACTTTTCCCTGATGTGTTGCCTACTTGCTCCAGTTCAGTTACTCCTAGACCTAGTCAAAGAGTCAACATAACAGCCAGCAATTTGCAAAGCCGTAACTGAAGGTGTCTTAAGACATTTTACCTCATCTTTTGACTTTCTTGGGACAAACTGGAAGAAGAGGAGTTTTCTTGGGCCACACATAAAATACACCAAGGATAACAGATGAGCAAAAAAAAAGTTCTGCAGATGACTGATATAGATAATGTAACTGAGTAATAAAACTTCATTTTTTGTAATATTTATTATAAAAAGTAAAAGGAGGGCAACATAAAGCTAGTGTGATATTGGATAGGGTTTCTGATAAACTAACCCACCAATATCTGGTTTGACGAATGTAATAGCAATTCTCAATGAATTCTCAAGGTGCTCATCAGATATTTTGTTTCTAATTTTGCCCTTTGTGTGTGACAGACCCAACCAGGGTTGTCACCTCCAAAAAACCCTGTTTCGGTTGGGTCTGTCACAGTGTGCTTCATCCTTGAAAATATTTGTTCACAAATACAGGTGCTGCCAAAAAACGGATGACATGAATAAGGCGCGATTGTGAAGAGTGGGATATTTTTCTTTAAAAAGGAGAAGTACAGACAAAACTCTTTTGGATGTACTTCTCCTGTGGATCACATGAGTGCAGTTCATTGTGCACTCCTTCTTAGCCGACAGCAGGCTGAAGTCCGCTGTCGGCTGACGTCACTCAGCTGGGGAAAGAACCTGATCTAAAGTCGGATCCAACCCATAGTCTGGAGCGGCACCTGGCTCAGCCTCTCAGCGAGCTGCTGAGAACCTGAGCAAGCCACTCCCTCCCCTCCACAGCTCAGGGCTCCAGTCAGAACTGGGAGGCAAAGCAGATAGCGGTGACTGACAGTCACCACTCTCTGCTCAGAGCGGCCGTAAGAACTCAGCGGTCATGTGATCACTGAGTTTTCACACTTAGAGCTGGTGGAGGACAGATGCAGCATTGGAGCAATGCTGCATCCACCCAAGTATAAATGGGGGGAAAAAATTAAAAAAAAGCCCTACTCTCTCTTTTAAGAAGATAAAGAAGCCCAGTAAAGAGACACTGTCAAAATCAACATTTTTAATTAAGTTTACAATTTTGTTTGGGCCACATCCACAGATGTCTAGGGTCGCAATCAGCCCACGACCCGCAGGATGATGGACACCCCCGCCTTAACCAATTACCAAACCAGGCACACACCAACTTTACCAGGCACAGACCAATTTTACAGTGTTTTTTACAGTCATGAAACACTGTACCCATATGAAATTTTTATCTTTTTTTCACACAAATAGAACTTTCTTTTGGTGGTATTTAATCACAGCTGGGTGTGTTTTTTTTTTGCACTATAAACAAAAAAAGAGCAGCAAAAAAAAAAAATACCACAACAAGAAGTTTTTCTTTGTTTCCATTATAAAATTTGCAAACAGGTAATTTTTCTCCTTCACTGATGTGTGTTGATGAGGCTGCACTGCTAGGCAGCACTGATGAGGTGGACGGATAGGCAGCACTGATGGGTACTGATAGGCTGCACTGGTGGGCAGTGATGAGGAGGCACTGATATGCAACGATGGTTACTGATAGGCGGCACTGACTGGTGAAACTGCTGGGTGCAACTGCTTGTATGGCACTGATCATCAGTGCCCTGATAATCACTGCTGATCTGTTCTGTCACATTTGCCGGTTATCGGTAGTACTTTCCTCACGCTGTGACCGCGTGAGGAAAGTGCTGCAGATAACCGGCAATTGTATTTACTCAGTGATTGTCATTTTACACAGCTGGTTACGTGGAAAAAGGCCGCTGTGATTGGCCTTTTAGCCCAACACATGATCAGCTGTGTCCATAGGACACAGCAGTCACAAAGATCGCCAGGGGCGCGCGTTTTGGGAGGATGTCATATGACGCCCTCCCAGAACTGGACAACTGTGCTGTACCTGTCATTCGGCTATAGCGCGGTTAGCAAGTGGTTAAGGGTCAGTATGAGTATATCAACTTTGTATGTATAGGCACCAGAGGCTGACCAACACAAAATCACGGGCGGCCTATACAGGCACAGCAACATACCTGTACGTCGTTTGCCTCTTCCGGTTAGAGGCCGTGCACGCGCGTGCCTCCGCCCTCCGACTGTGTTTGTACACAGTAGAAGTTTGTCAGCAGGTCCTGGCAAATATTACATGGCAAGGACCTACTGATCGGCTGTGTGCAATCACAGTCCAGAGCCCTTTGACAACAATCAACACAGGGCACTCTACAGAGCGAAAAATCACTGTCTCTTCTCCCTGCAAATCAGGGAACAGGAAGAGATTTTTAGTTAAAAACAGCAGCATATAATACAAACATTAACATTTCTTAGGCACACACTTAACCTCTTAATTACCTGGGATGTTAACCAGATAATTAATTATCAGTGTCATTAGTACAGTGACAGTGTATAGTATTATCATTGATCACTATATTACCCTCCGTTCACATCAAGCCCAACTGAAATCATTACAGTGAAGTCGCACAAATTTCAAAGTCGAATTGCAAGACATCTGATACAGATCTCGAAGCAAATTGCACCAAAAGTAGTACATGTACTACTTTTGAAATATGAGCGCTCCAACTGCGAACAATAGGGTGCGACTTGGTATGCAATTTACAAGTCGCAGGGCATGCAAATTGCATGCCAAGTCGCATCCAGTGTGAACCAGGGCTTAGTGTCACTGCTGATGTCGGTGTCAGTTAGCTCCCACTCAGTGCCAGTTAGTGTCAGAATACCAGCTGCACTATTACAGTCCCACAAGTTAGTAGTAAAAAAAAAAAAAAAAAAAAAATTCCAAAACACACACACACACACACACACACAACACAAACTTTCACCCAACTAATCAATACATTTATTGGTTATTTTTTTTTTTGTAATGAAAGACCTGTAGCAGAACACATCTTGGACCAAATTTTTAAATTTTTTTATTGGATATGGTTTATAGCAGAAAGTAAAAAAAAATTTTCTTCTTCAAAAGTTTCAGACTTTTTACGTTTATATGATAAACAAAAAGCCCAGTGGTGATCAAACACCACCAAAAGTAAGTTCTATTTAAAAAAAGCAAAAACATTTTGTTTTGAGTACAGGGTTTCATGACCACACATTTACCAATTAAAGTAGTGCAGTGCTAAATAGCAAAAAAAAGGCGGGGTCATGAAGAGGGTAAAACCTTGCAGATCTGAAGTGGTTCTAAAGGCTGAAGGTTTTTAACTTCTGTGTTCAGCTCCCCCCTCAGCCCCCCCTTTTACTCACCCAAGCCCACTCCAATCAAGCACTGTGCAGGAGAGCACCAGCTCTTTCGGGTTTCTGCTTCCTCATATGCTGAGACAATCACAGCCAGTAAGGAGGGAGGGGGGGCGGGGCCAAGCCTCGCTCTGTGTGTCGCTGATACAAAGGCGGCTCGGGAGCTATCACGCACAAGTGCCCCCAGAGCAAGCAGTCTGCCTTGAGGGCACTAAGAAGGGGGGGGGGGGGGGGGACAGGAGTGCCAGCGGGGGACCCGAAAAGAGAAGGATCTGGCTGTCTGAGCAGTGAAGTATAACATGTTTATTTAAAAAAAAAAAAAGTGTACCTTTAGTATAATTTAGGAAGCAATATGGTATAATTTCCTTTAGATCTACCAACATGTATCTACCTATAGTGTGAAAATCTGCCTGACTGGGTACAAATGAAATGGATTGTTTACATTGGGCTTCTACTACATAATTTTGGTAAATCTAACAGGGGTTGCAAAATCAATGTGTGATCATCTTATCCCCCACTACAGCCAAAAACCATCTAATTTCTACACAGTAAAGGGAGGTGACTATTTCCCAATACCTGCAATTCTGTCAGAAAAAGAAAACAATTGGGGTATCCCAGGAGTAGGACAAAGCAAGATATTGATGGACTTTCACCAAACAAAAAGGTATAGGTCAGGTTGGAAATACTCATCAGGTAACATATTGTACCGAGACAGGAAAGGAGGAGTTTTAGTGTTTACAGACAAATTCTGGACACAAAAAATGCACAAATGTTAGAGAACTCCCTTCTAATAGCATTCTCTGCTCTTCTTTAAATACCAATGAATTAAAAATTAAAATAATTCTAGCTAAATATTTTTTTTTATTCATTGTTCCTCCATTGTAGGCAAATTATGTCACAACTCCACTCCTGTTGACTCCTGGGATATTTTCATCAGAAATCCCAGGAGTCTTTAGGCTTTTTTTTTTTCTTTTTTATTGTGAGGGGAGGAGAGCTGAAGGAGGGCAAAGGACAGGCAGATATGGGTGGATAGGGGCAGAGACAGGCAAAGGATGGACAGAGACAATGTGTAGTGTGCAAGCGTGGCCTCCAATATGCACGGCGCGTGCGCAGAATCGCTGTGCACCATGGAGAAGAATTATGGATTCCAAGGTGCTGGTTTCAGCTGCCCTCAGTTAAAATGGCCACAGTGACATACACTATATTACGAAAAGTATTGGGATGCCTGCATTTACATGCACATGAACTTTAATGGCATCCCATGTCTATATAGACCTTGATTTGTGCACTGGTGCGTGGTCATGTTGGAACAGGAAGGGGTCATCCCCAAACTGTTCCCACAAAGTTGGGAGCATGAAATTGTCCAAAATGTCTTGGTATGCTGATGCCTTAAGAGTTCCCTTCACTGGAACTAAGGGGCCAAGCCCAAGCCCTGAAGAACAACCCAACACCATAATCCTCCCTCCACCAAACTTTACACTTGGCACAGTGCAGTCAGGCAAGTACTGTTCTCCTGGCAACCGCCAAACTCAGACAAGTCTATGGGATTGCCAGACAGAGAAGCGTGATTGGTCACTCCAGAGAAACACGTCTCCACTGCCCTAGAGTCCAGTGGCAGCGTGCTTTACACCACTGCATTGCACTTGGTGTAAGGCTTGGATGCAGCTGCTCGGCCATGGAAACCCATTCCATGAAGCTCTATACGCACTGTTGTTGTGCTAATCTGAAGGCCACATGAAGTTTGGAGTTCTTTATCTATTGACTCTGCAGACAGTTGGTGACTTCTGCACATTGTGCGCTTCAGCATGCGCTGACCCCGCTCTGTCACTTTACGTGGCCTACCACTTCATGGCTGAGTTGCTGTTGTTCCCAGTTGCTTCCACTTTGTCATAATATCACTAACAGTTGACAGTGGAATATTTATCAGCGAGGAAATTACGTGGATGGACTTATTGCACAGGCGGCAACCTATCACAGTACCACACTTGAATTCACTAAGCTCCTGGGAGCGACCCATTCTTTCACAAATGTTTGTAGAAGCAGTCTGCATGCCTAGGTGCTTGATTTTATACACCTGTGGCCATGGAGGTGATTGGAATGATTTGGAGGTATGCCCAATACTTTTGGCAATATTGTGTATATAGCTAGTTTAGTTACAGCCTGCTTTTTACACTGAAAAATGGCAGATTTAGAAAACTGAAGTAGATAAATCACATCATTGAGGTTTTTACACGCTTCATGTATTTTTCTACAATTTATAATGTTTGACTGAAGTTCCTCTTTAACTACTTGCCAACCGCAGATAGCCGAATGACGGCTACACTGCGGCCGGCCAGTTCTGGGAGGGCGTCATATGAAGTCCTCCCGGAACGCGCTCTCCTGCGCTCCCCCCCCCCCCCCCCCGAGGCACGCACCCGGCGACCTCCGTGATCGCTGTGTCCTACGGACACAACTGATCACGTGATGTGGTAAAGGGCCAATCACAGCGGCCTTTTACCACGTGATCGGCCGTGTCCAATGACACGCTGATCACCAGGAAATGCAATTGCTGGTTCTCGGCTGCACTTTCCTCATGCTGTCAGAGAGCGCAAGGAAAGTACTGCCTAAAAACCAGCAGTTGTCAGAGCAGGGATCGGCACCGATCATCAGGGCACTGATGATCGGTGCCCTGATGATTGGTGCTCAGCAGTGCCACCCACCAGTTCCGCCCACCTGTGCCCAGCAGTGCGCCCTCCTGTGCCACCCAGCAGTGCGCCCTCCTGTGCCACCCAGCAGTGCGCCCTGTGCCTGTGCCCACCAGTGCAGCCCATCAGTGCTGCCAGTCAGTGCCCAACAATTGTGCCAGTCAGTGTCACCTATCAGTGCCGCCTATCCGTGACACCTCATTAGTGCCGCCTATCCGTGCCGCCGATCAGTGCCCGCCTCATCAACACACATCAGTGAAGGAGAAAGATTTTATAATAGAAACAAAGAAACTTTTTTTTTTTCACATTTTTTGCACTTTTTTTGTTTATAGCGCGAAAAGTAAAGTGTCCAGCGGCGATTAAATACCACCAAAAGAAAGCTCTATTTGGGAGAAAAAAATGATAAAAATTTCACATGGGTACAATCTCGCATGACTGCGCAATTGTCAAAGTGCGACAGCGCTGAAAGCTGAAAATTGACCTGGTAAAGAAGGGGATATAAGTGCCCGGTAGGCAAGTGGTTAAGTTGCCCCAGTGAGGAAAATAAAGAACAATTTTGGCAAGCTAAAATCTCCAATCGCGGACCTCACTCACCTTCTTTTAGGCCTAATATCTGCATGGTGTCAAGAGCATCTATGAGAGTGAGCCCAAGTCCAAACCATTCACCATACGCCTTGGAGATCGGCTTAAGCTCGTCATGACCCCACGCAAACTGCTTGTAACCCTTCCAGGCATGTTGGAATGCTTCAATCACTGCCTCCTGGCGCTCACTGATAGGAACTAGAAGGTGATAACAAGTTAGCAATTCACTGTTCTTGTGTCACCCACAACTTTTATTTTAGACTGAATGACAGTACACAGACAAATGAAAAACATCTTCCTATTCACATATTCATCAACATTCCTGAGGGGTTTATTAGTATGATGTTTTTGAAAAAGACCTGGTGCAAAAAATGTCTGTGCAAAATATTTTTATGTGCTATAAAATTAAAAAAAAAACTCTTAAAATTTTTCACATCTGAAAAGATACAGAAACTTACAATATACATAAAGTGTCACTAAAGGCAAAAAAATATTGCTCTTTACCCCAATTAGGACAAATAGGGAGGATGAATCTTTCTTCCTGATTTACAGTATTCATTGAAAGTAAAAGAAAATCCCAAATTTTGGGTTGACAACAGAACACTAATAGAGGACCAATCTTCAAAAAGGGTACATTAGTTCTAGTGACACCCTGGGATTTCCTCACTTTGGAGAAATCTCCTCACACTTCCTGTTTTGGCTATGGGACAGGAAATGAGGGGAAATCTCCTCAATGGGTCACATATTGCAAAAAAAAAAAAAAAAAAAAAAAAACTGACAGGGGTTATATCCTTCCCTTACTCTATCAGAAAAAAAAATAGTTTACCTTTAGTGAAACTTTAAATCCCCACTCAGTGCTGCTGTCAATTTGACCCGTGCACTTGGTTCCCTATCCCCTGCAATGCATGCATTAAATGCACATTTGGCTGGGGGGGGGGGGGGGGGGGGGGAATAAGTACAAATACTTGTCTTATGCATTGCTTCCCATGAAGCTGCTGCTCTCCTGCACTGACACTCTAGGTTAGGGGTGGTCCTCACATACAATGCATGACTGCATATCACATGATGACGCATGACCTTTCAGGTTGCAAAGTGAGGTGGCTTTGGGGGACTGCTCCCTAGGAAAGGAGGAAGTTTGGTTTTTGGATATAGTGTGGAAGGGTTAGTAATCTTTTCAAGTTTTTACTGCTATCTGGGGAAGTTTTTCCTCTCTGTCCTGTACTGGTGACAATGGTAATTAGATAGTGATGGGAAATCCAACATTAAGTTGGAGATATAAAAATCAGAGTGCAGTGCAATGTCAGAAACTAGGCATACTTTATTAAATATAAAATAAGCACCCACTTACATGAACGAATGAATCCTGGATCTTTCCTTATTCTACCCATCTTCATGCTGTGAGCTGATGTTTGCTTCCTGCTGTGTCTGATACGCTCTAATGTACAAGTAAGTGGAAGCCTATTTCACATTTAAATAAGTACGTGTAGTTGTTGACATCGCCCTGCACTCCGCTTTCTCTATCTCCCGTTCTGAGGCTGGATCTTTCCAAGGTGCTTTGTGTGGATGCTGTGGCTGATGTATAGCTGATCCTTGCCAATGCAAGGATTACATCTCCAAGTATTTTCCCATATGTTTGACAGACTTTATAGTGTAATCCAAAAACAGACGACATACTGATTTTTTTAACGCAAACTGTACAACTTCAAGTTTTTTTGTTCTACACCAGTCCACTTTTATCACTACAGTTCGTTTTATCCTTTTTTTATTGGGAAATCCAACACTGTACACTTATATTATTAAAACAGGTGGTCCTTGGATTTAATTTTTTACTATCGTTACATATTATTGCTACAGGTATATTTTGATTATAACAATGACTGAAATTCAGAAGTTGTTTGTAGGTTTCTTTATATAATTGGCTGATTAAAGAGTAAACATTTAAGCAGTATGCCTTGCTGGGAGGTGGTTATTCTCCCTGGACTGTTATGCATGTGTGTATACTATGAACCCTGCACTCCATGGTTAGACAGGCATTGCGAATAATCAATTACAGAAGTGAGCTGTTGTCACTTTTTTTTTTTAATCAATACTATTGGCAGGACAAAATAGTAAAAAAAAAAAAAAAAAAAAACAAATAAAAAAAAACAAGCAAAAAAAAAAAAAAAAAAAAAAAAAAAAAAAAACAACCTTTGGTGCCCATGTTTAAAACATGCCAAATTATATTGTGCTGCACCTCTGCTGAAATCTTAAGAGTCATAATTTTCACTTCCTTCATTCAAGTGATCTGTCTTGTTAGAGTCAGTCTGGAAAGTGCTGAAAGTGGCTTTGGAGCCCACGCAGACCAAGCCAGTGGGGTTGATTTACTAAAGAAATAGTGACTGTTCACTTAGCAAGGTGAATATTAATTTACTTTAGTTAAGAATGTGAAGCAATGTTATTTTTGAATACCTAGTCATGTCCAATGGGTGATAAAGGATAAAGTGCAACTTCAGTGACATTTTCCAAAAAACCCCTTATGCAATTTTATATCTTCACACGTGCAGCTCAGACCACGTTTACGGCCAGCTCTGCCTGCCGCAGCAATGTGGCTCCTGTGCACATGCAAAGGAGTAACATCACCTGCAGCCTGGCCATTCAAGCAGCTGAAGATTGGGAACCCAGAAGGAAGACAGGGTAAAGATGGAAGCCATCGGAGACCAGGGGAAAGCCAATGTTAGCGCAGCGCTGGAGGGCTCTGTCTGCAGGTAAGTCTGTCATAATGTACTAGCATGCAGTGCACACTAGTAAAAATATGACCTATGCCTGCATGGGGGACCATTTTTTAAAATAAAGAACGGAACTACTACTGCTTTAAGATTACTAGGCAGTTCCTAGCAACAAACAACTGCCTACTAAGGCAAAGATCAACACACATAGAGAACTTACAGCAATCACATATTTTTTAGAAATCGTAAAAAAACTACACAAAGCAAAAAAATCTGATTTTTTTTTGCTGCAATACATCACTGCTCATGCACTCACATTTTAAAATTAACAGCCTAAATTAGTAAAATAAAACCTCATAGTGTGAAGAGCTTCAGCTCCTAAAGGACAGAAAAGTGCAGCAAACTGTGCCAGTAGAACCATAGGCAATTTTTATTTTTTCATTTCAGATAAAGTAACGGAGGGTTATAACCCGTCAGTTTTATTTTTGCCATCTGTGTCCCTATTTGGGAGACTTCCCTTCCTGTGCCTAAGCGAAAACAAGAAGTGCAGGAATCCAGGGTCATCAGAATTCATGTTCACATTGGAGGTTTTCGCCTCTATTCTTGTTCTGACAGCATCCCAAATTTTGGGGTATACTTTCACAGTCGGTGATAATGGCAAAAAGGACCAATAGAGAGAGAGGGGGAGCTCCCTAATGGGGACAGACAGCAGTAAACTTTACAGGTGTTCTAATCCCTCTCCATGCTATCCACAAATAAAACTAAAAAAAGTATAGCTTTTAGTTACTTTTTAAGTTCTCAGAAGGTAGTAAAGCATGCTGGGACTGGTAGTTCTACCACAGCTGAACAAACACGGCTGGCAATAGGCTCTGCTCTAAATGGTGATCTTGTGTCTCACAGACAATACCTGGATCCTTCTGATCTACTATGTCTTGAGCAGGAGGTTTAGTGGCTTCTGGGGTTTTGCTTGGAGTCGGTCCTGAGGTCTGAACTGGTTCGATCACGGCTCCCCTCCAGCTGCATATAAACACAAATATGAAGCTGAGAATTGCATAATGGTAACATATGCCTGTCATTCCAGAAAAGAAAAAAACAAATAGAGCAACGAAAATTGGTATCAACAGAACTCAAAACAAGTATTTCCTTCTATCATCACAAACATAAATATTATTTCTGAAGGTGTGCTGGAATGCAGCACTGCTCAACCACAAGCAGTGAGAGTAGCAGATCACAGCACTGGAGCTGTGCCTGACTGGTTTTTGCACATGATTGAGCATGAGTGGCAGAAACAGACTCCAATGGAACCAGTTATGTTCCAAGGAAAAAAAAAACAAACAAACAATAGGTGATACAGGGCCGGGCACAGGTCTCCCCGCCTGAAGCCACACAGGGCCGGGCACAGGTCTCCCCGCCTGAAGCCACACAGGGCCGGGCACAGGTCTCCCCGCCTGAAGCCACACAGGGCCGGGCACAGGTCTCCCCGCCTGAAGCCACACAGGGCCGGGCACAGGTCTCCCCGCCTGAAGCCACACAGGGCCGGGCACAGGTCTCCCCGCCTGAAGCCACACAGGGCCGGGCACAGGTCTCCCCCGCCTGAAGCCACACAGGGCCGGGCACAGGTCTCCCCGCCTGAAGCCACACAGGGCCGGGCACAGGTCTCCCCGCCTGCCGCCACACAGGGCCGGGCACAGGTCTCCCCGCCTGCCGCCACACAGGGCCGGGCACAGGTCTCCCCGCCTGCCGCCCCCGCCTGCCGCCACACAGGGCCGGGCACAGGTCTCCCCGCCTGCCGCCACACAGGGCCGGGCACAGGTCTCCCCGCCTGCCGCCACACAGGGCCGGGCACAGGTCTCCCCGCCTGCCGCCACACAGGGCCGGGCACAGGTCTCCCCGCCTGCCGCCACACAGGGCCGGGCACAGGTCTCCCCGCCTGCCGCCACACAGGGCCGGGCACAGGTCTCCCCGCCTGCCGCCACACAGGGCCGGGCACAGGTCTCCCCGCCTGCCGCCACACAGGGCCGGGCACAGGTCTCCCCGCCTGCCGCCACACAGGGCCGGGCACAGGTCTCCCCCGCCTGCCGCCACACAGGGCCGGGCACAGGTCTCCCCGCCTGCCGCCACACAGGGCCGGGCACAGGTCTCCCCGCCTGCCGCCACACAGGGCCGGGCACAGGTCTCCCCGCCTGCCGCCACACAGGGCCGGGCACAGGTCTCCCCGCCTGCCGCCACACAGGGCCGGGCACAGGTCTCCCCGCCTGCCGCCACACAGGGCCGGGCACAGGTCTCCCCGCCTGCCGCCACACAGGGCCGGGCACAGGTCTCCCCGCCTGCCGCCACACAGGGCCGGGCACAGGTCTCCCCGCCTGCCGCCACACAGGGCCGGGCACAGGTCTCCCCGCCTGCCGCCACACAGGGCCGGGCACAGGTCTCCCCGCCTGCCGCCACACAGGGCCGGGCACAGGTCTCTCCCCGCCTGCCGCCACACAGGGCCGGGCACAGGTCTCCCCCTGCCGCCACACAGGGCCGGGCACAGGTCTCCCCGCCTGCCGCCACACAGGGCCGGGCACAGGTCTCCCCGCCTGCCGCCACACAGGGCCGGGCACAGGTCTCCCCCCCGCCTGCCGCCACACAGGGCCGGGCACAGGTCTCCCCGCCTGCCGCCACACAGGGCCGGGCACAGGTCTCCCCGCCTGCCGCCACACAGGGCCGGGCACAGGTCTCCCCGCCTGCCGCCACACAGGGCCGGGCACAGGTCTCCCCGCCTGCCGCCACACAGGGCCGGGCACAGGTCTCCCCGCCTGCCGCCACACAGGGCCGGGCACAGGTCTCCCCGCCTGCCGCCGCCACACAGGGCCGGGCACAGGTCTCCCCGCCTGCCGCCATACAGGGCCGGGCACAGGTCTCCCCGCCTGCCGCCATACAGGGCGGGCACGGGCACAGGTCTCCCCGCCTGCCGCCATACAGGGCCGGGCACAGGTCTCCCCGCCTGCCGCCATACAGGGCCGGGCACAGGTCTCCCCGCCTGCTGGCTTACTGGGCCGGCAGAGTTCTCACTACCTATCAAAATACAAGATCCACAGATATCTCACTTTCTGTCATGAGCTGAGCAGATGACTGCTTAGAAGGCCACAGCTCACCCATCATTCTGTCCCCTCCCTTATACACATACAAACACACACATACAACTGAATTTCAGTAGTGCCTTTAGTTCAGACCTCTCTTATCTACCTGATGACAGGCTCGTTGTTTTCAGCTTCCGCCGGCCTCTGCTCATTATCTTCCAGTGTTATGATCTTTGTAGGAGGTTGACGTAAAATTGGTGGTCCACGTTTGTTTGGTCTCTTTATTTTTCTAGATGATGGAACACAATGCACATATTTTAGTGTCCAATTAAACAAAAAAAAAAAAAACACACCAGTAGAAACTGATATTGGAATTCCAAACAGGCATTTCCAAATTGTCTTGTAATGTGTCTAAACCACATACATGTTTGCACACGTTGGCTGACCACTAACTAAAGCAGTCTCAAAGGACACGGGAATGAGCATGAGAAAGTCAGGCCCTGGTAACAATGTAAAAACTAAATTAGAAAAAAGGGACAGATAAAACATTTCTGCTATATAAAAGATAACAGGCATTATACAGTGTCTGCTCTTGAAGTGCCCAGACTATGGAAAATAAAGTATTTATATATTCATTACAAGCAGAATCTTTTTAAAATAAGCCACCACTGATCTCTAAAGCAGCTTGTACTGTGAAGTAATCGACCCTTTGCCCCCCAGGTAACACATTGCTCTCTTTTGAGGTTTGATAATGAAATAAGTGCTGGCTGCCATTTAATTATAACCGCCAGCCTCTAACCCTAGCCAATAAAATTTGCTTACTGCCTCCACAAAATAGAAACTTCCAATTGTAAGCCAAGCCAGTATTTGACCTATTAAGGAATCTGTGACATCACTGATTGTGAACAGATCATACGCTTTCTTAAAAGACACCCATTTTCTCTAAGCCCAATTGAAGTCTCTTCTTTTTACCCCCTAAAAAGGTAACTCGACTTTTCAAGGTGAAAACATTTTCACAAATAAAAAATATATAAAAAGAGTACACAATTGCTACACTAGCGATAGTTTAATTGAATGTTAGTAAAAATTACCTTTCCTTTTCCAGTGCTATAATTTTCCGTAAAATTAAATGCAATACAGCAACCTAGAAGCATTCTGAACACAACTGGTATACAGAACGCTCTCTAGAAATGTTGTTTCCTGCTTGTGCGATTGGACTACTGACTTTCTCACAAGTCTGCACTAAGATGCATGTACAATTTTAGGTACCCCCTGGAACAAAAGGGTTAAATACTTCTAAAGGGATGCAGACACTGCCACTTTCAATGAAAAAGACACTCCCATTCAGATTCACTCTGCACACTGAATAAAAAAACAAAACAAAAAAAACAGCTTTTTTCAGAACAGAAACTGGTAGAAATCTGCAACAAAGTTTGTTGAAATCCATGCAATGTACATAAAGGGGATTGTGGGTTCCCCCCCTCAACAAAAGCGGTGTTATTCTTTAATGTCCTGTACCCAAATGTTTGCTTTGCGAAAGATTTTTCTCTCAGTGAAAATGCTTGCTCTCACTCTCCAGTGTTTTGTGCTGTCAGAGCTGAGTAACAGCCGCATCCCTTATCACACAAACTTCTATTAGCCCTGGTTCACACTGATGCGGTGCGGAATTCGCAGAATTTTCTGTACAAATTCCGCACTGCATCAGAATCGCACCCCGTTCATGCGAACTGCTGCGGGTGTGTATGTTAACGAAACCCTGAAATCGGTCCGCAAAATGCGGTGCGATGTGCAGAATCGGATCGCATAGGTGTGAATACCCATGCGATCCGATTCTATTGCAGACCAAAAAAAGGGTCCTGCACCTTTTTGGTGCGGATGCGGTGCAATTTGAGCCACACATAATGTATGACTTAAATCGCACCACACACAATTTGCATGGGATTTTCACAGGAATGCGGTACACCGAACCGCATATATGTGAACAGGGCTCACAGTGGTAGAGAGGGGGTATGTCTGACCAGGTCATTTACTGAGTGGTAAACACTGACAGAATTGGGTCTGACCCTGATGTCTCTTGCTCTGCAAAGTCATATCTAGACTCCCCACGCAATTACTATAACAGGAGAGGACTATGAAAGTGGTGGTTATGACTACCAAGTGTACCGTATTTTTCGCCGTATAAGACGCACTTTTTCTTCCCAAAACTGGGGGGGAAATATCAGTGTGTCTTATGGAGCGAATACGGAGCGGCCGGTCCGGTATTTCCACCGCGGCCGTGTCAGAATACCGGGCCGGCCGCTCAGCTCTGCAGCGGGACCTTACCTGTTCCTCTATCCAGCGGCGTGCTGTCTTCCCGGCTTCTGTAGTGTGGGCACTGGGCATGACAGCCGGGTGCCAAGTGCGCATGCGCAAGAAGCGGTGCTTTTTGTGAATGGTAAGGCGGTACCTGGGACACATGACAGATCCCAGAAGCCGCCGGATCAATCACAAAGCGCAAGTGCTTCTCGCTCATGCGCACTGGGCACCCGGCTGTCATGCCGAGCGCCATTACAGAAGCCGGGAAGACAGCGCACGGCTGGATCAAGGAACAGGTAAGCTCAAACAAAAAACTCTGCGGAAGTAAGAGCGGGTACCTGTCAAATTCAGGTACCCGCTCCCCACCTCCCCAAAGGTCAGCAGTCATCTGTGCTGTCCGCAGTCTCTGGTCATCCCTGTGCTGTCCGCAGTCTCTGGTCATCCCTGTGCTGTCCGCAGTCTCTGGTCATCCCTGTGCTGTCCGCAGTCTCTGGTCATCCCTGTGCTGTCCGCAGTCTCTGGTCATCCCTGTGCTGTCCGCAGTCTCTGGTCATCCCTGTGCTGTCCGCAGTCTCTGGTCATCCCTGTGCTGTCCGCAGTCTCTGGTCATCCCTGTGCTGTCCGCAGTCTCTGGTCATCCCTGTGCTGTCCGCAGTCTCTGGTCATCCCTGTGCTGTCCGCAGTCTCTGGTCATCCCTGTGCTGTCCGCAGTCTCTGGT